ATTCATTTTGTATGAGAGGATGCAAGAATGACGCTAATTTTACCCAGGAGAGTATTATATCCTCTTTAATTTGTCAGAATATGCAGGCATACCTCATTTTATTGTACTTCACTTTATTGTGTTTCACAGATACGGCAATTTTCAGATTGACAACCTTGCATGGAGCAAGTCTATAGGTGCCATTTTCCCAACAGCATTTGCTCACTTCATGACTATGTGTCACATTCTGGTAATTCTCACAGCATTTCAAACTTCATTATTATTATATTTCTTAGGGTGATCTTTGATGTTACTATTGCAATTGTTCTGGATGCCATGAACCACACCTATGATGGTGAACTTAATTGATAAATGTGTGTGTTCTGACTGCCCCACCAACAGGTCGTTCCCCTCTCCCTCTCCTCAGGCCTCCCTATTCCCTGAGACACATATTCCCAGTTAATAACCCTACAATAGCCTCTATATGTTCATGTGAAAGGAAGAATTAAATGTCTCTCACATTAAATCAAAAGCTAGAAATTATTAAACTTAGTGAAGGCATGTGGAAAAGCCAAGAAAAGCTAGGCCTCTTGTGCCAAGTATCCAAGTTGTGAATGCAAAGGAAAAGTTCTGGAAGGAAATTAAAAGTGCTACTCCAGTGAACATATGAATGGTAAGAAGTGAAGCAGTCTTATTGCTGATAGGGAGGAAGTTTTAGTGGTTTGGATAGATCAGACCAACCACAACATTCCCTTAAGCCAAAGTCTAATCCAGAGCAAGGCCCTTGACACTCTTCAATTATATGAAGGCAGACAGAGGTGAAGAAGCTGCAGGAGAAAAGTCTGAAGTTAGCAGAGGTTGGTTCATGAGGCTTAGGGGGTCGTCTCCATAATGTCAAAGTGCAACATGAAGCAGCAAGTGCTGATGCAGAAGCTGCAGCAAGTTATCGAGAATATCTAGCTAAGATAATTAATGAAGGTGGCTACCTGAAACAGCTGCAGACAAAACAGCGTTCTATTGGAAGAAGATGCCATCTAGGACTTCCCTATCTAGAGACAAGTCAACACCTGGCTTCAAAGCTTCAAGGACAGGCTGACTCTCTTGGTAAGGGTTAATGCAGCTGGTGATTTTAAGTTGAAGCCAATGCTCGTTTACCATTCCAAAAATCCCAAGGCCCTTAAGAATTATGAAAAATCTACTCTGCCTGTGCTCTAGAAATGGAACACCAAAGTCTGGGTGACAGCACATCTGTTCACAACATGGTTTACTGAATATGTAAAGCCCACTGTTTAGATCTACTGCTCAGAAAGATTCCTTTCAAAATACTTCTCATTGATAATGCACATGGTCACCCAGGAGTTCAGATGGAGATGTACAATGAGGTTAATGTTTTTTTCATACCTGCTAACACAATATCCATTCTGCAGCTCATAAGCAAGGAGTAATTTCAACTTTCGAGTCTTATTTAAGAAATACATTCCATAAGGTTACAGCTGCCATAGATAGTTATTCCTCTATTGGATCTGGGCAAAGTAAATTAAAAACCTTCTGGGAAGGATTCACCATTCTAGATGCTATTAAGAACATTCATGATTGCTGGGAAGAGGTCAAAATATCAACATGAACAGGAATCTGGAAGAAGTTGATTCCAACCCACATGCATGTCTTTGCAGAGTTCAAGACTGGTGGAGGACGTGACTGCAGATGTGGTGGAAATAGCAAGAGAACTAGAATTAGAAGTGGAGCCTGAAAATGTGACTGAATGGTTGAAGTTTCATGATAAAACTTGAATGGATAAGGAGTTGCTTTTCATGGATGAACAAAGAAAGTGGTTTCTTGAGTTGGACTCTACTTCTGATAAAGATGCTGTGAAGACTGTGGTGATCTTCTATCCAAATGACAACAAAGGATTTAGAATATTACATAAACTTAGTTGAAAAAGCAGCAGCAGGGTTTGAGAGGACTGACTCCAATTTTGAAAAAAGTTCTACTGTGGGTAAAATGCTATCAAGTAGCCTCACATGGTACAGAGAAATCATTCCTGAAAGGAAGAGTTAATCAATGAGGCTAACCTCACTGTCTTATTTTAAGAAATCACAGCCACCCCAGCCTTCAGGCAACACCACCCTCATCAGTCTGCAACCATCAACACTGAGGCCAAGACCCTCCACTAGCAAAAAGATTAAGACTTGAAGAAAGCTCAGATGATGGTTAGCATTTTTTTAGCAATAAATTATATTTTAATTAAGAGACATATATTTTTAAAGACATATTGCTATTGTACACTTACCAGACTACAATATAGTGTGAACATTACTTTTATATGTACTGGGCAACCAAAAAATTCATTTGACTTGCTTTACTGTGATACTCGATTTGTTGGGGTGGTCTGAACTGAACTTGTACTATCCCCAAGGCATGCCTGTATTTGATCCATACATGCTCTTTTACTTGCCTACAACTACCTAACAGGATCATGCTACTCATGGTGGCTTCTTATACTGCTCTAGTTTTTTTGTAGGCATTCTGGTCATCTCCCCTTCTCTTCTAGGGCAGGCCCTTTTCCCCTTTTCCTCCTGCTACCAACACAGCGTCACTTGGCCTCCATCTTGGCCCAGCCAGTTAACTGTTCATGAACCAAAATACTGGTTTGGCTCCACTGCCAACTTTTGGTGTTATTGTATTATTCTGATAATAATTTTAAGTGATAACAAACAGGGAAACTTGAAAATCACTCATAATTCAACTGTCCAAAGTTAGCGTATCCTTTCTAGTCATTTTAAGAACATTTTTTTATTTATATGCAGTTTTGCATATCACTCTTTTCATTTAACATCATTAGTGTTTTGCCATGCTGTCTTAATTCTTCAACATTAATTATAATGATTGCATAAGTCTATTGTATAATCATACTGTAACCGATTTTCAACTGTTGGACATCTGGATTGTTAAGCATAAATTTTGCTCACATTTTAGACTATTTCTTTAGAACAGATTCCCAGAAGTGGAATTAGAGGATCAGAAGATAAAAATATTTTTAATGACAGATACTGCCAAATTGCTTTTCAGAAAGCTGTTGCCAATTTACACCTCCAAAATTGTTAGCATGTTTTTCTACCAACATAGATCTCTCTAAAGGAAAATAAAATTTAAGTGAAATACGCAGTCCTCAAATTATTAATGCACTTGGAGAGGCATCGTGACCACAGCACAGAGATCTGTAGCAAAGGTCACACCTATTTCCAGGTATGCAATTAACTATGAGTTAATGTGAGCACATGGGGCAGAAGATTTGGAAAAGCGAAGAGTAATATAATTGGCTATCAGTCTGTCAGATTTAAGGCCTGTGTCTGTTTTGTCCATTACTATAACCCAGCACACAGGACAGTGCTTGGCACACACAGATGCTTAATTAAAATTTGTTGAATTAACACAGAATCTTCAAGTGCATTTTTTTCAACAGCTGTAGGATTTAGTCACTCCTGGATTCAAGGAAAACTGGCTGGATCAAACATCTGTGTAAAAGCCTGTTAAATCCTGATTCTATTTCAACTTTGGAAAATCAGTTTAAATGAAGATGATACATCTCTTTTTAGGGGAAATGCAAGTAAATGCACCAAAAAGGACATACACTTGGCACCAGTTACAAATATATATGTAAAGTTTTTTTCTAAACATGTAGAAAAAAAATATAATTGAGTTTTATCCTTTCATAGGTGATAACATAAATTTATGCAAATGCTGCCCATGGTCAATGCAATTTTGGAACCACTGTCAGTTCATCCTATTATTGCTGGTTGTGACTTGGCACCATTTACAGTATTTTGAGAAATTACAAGGGCATAATAAAGGTAGTAGTTTGTGTAATATCATTTTTAGTCAAAAACAGCACAAAATTCATTATGTGAGTATGGTCAAGGAAAAATAGTCTGTCATTCAGCTCTAGTTTTCTACTAGCACTATAAAGATTCCCCTCAATATTCCACAAATTTCATATAAAAATTTCAAAACTACTGCATCAATATGGCATTAACAATGTTATTGATGGAAAAGGATCAGTCACCTGTCATTTTATGTACACACTTTATATACACTTAGACCAAGGGCTGACAAACTAGGTGCATGGGCCAAATCTGGCTCACCATCTGTTTTCCTATGGTGTACAAGTTAAAAAGTCTAAGGAAGTTTTTTTACATTTTTAGATGATTGAAAAAAATCCAAATAATATCTTGTGACATGTGAAACATATGAAATTAAAATTCTAGTATCCATAAATAAATTTTTATTAGGACACAGCCATGCTTATCTGTTTCCATATCAGATATGTCTGCTTTTGCAAGAAAATGTTAAGTAGTTACAACACACACTATATGGCCCTCCATCCTAGACATTTTCCTTACAGAAAAAGTTTGCTGACCCCTTCACTAGACCCATGTGGATCTTTGGAGGTACTGAAATTTCCCACTAGAGTTTTAATTTCTGAATACTAATACTGGGTGATGCAACTGGGACATATTTGCAAGGATCTGACAAGGCAGAAACTAAAAAAGGTAAATACATGAGAGTTGCCTCAAATAGGATGTAAACGCCTGGTAAAATCTGAGAGGTCTGGCCCAACCAAGAAGCAGTTGGAGAATGCACGGTTATATACACAGTTCTGACAGCAAAGGAACCTCTTCCTAACTGAGCCACATAGGACCCTGGTAAGATCCAATTCCATGAAGCCTAGTGAGACTTGCTGGCAACGATGTCTGCAAAGAATAGGCCTGGCTGAGCAGTGTATGTGATGTAGTGACAGACAGTTCCCCAATAGTACCCCACTCCTTCACTAGATGTATGCAAGTCATTTAGCGTCCAGATTTACCCCAGCACCTCCAATGGCATGTGTGTACTTGTAAGAAATGGGTCTAATAGAAAGGCTCTGGAAAGCAGGCCCCAGGTATACATTCTTCCCAAACTATAACTTTAATGGGATTCAAAGCCAGGGGCAGAATTCACAAAACTGCAGAACTATCTACATGTTTTTCAAAATCAAAGGTTCGGTGAATACTTTATTCTTTCTGTTTTTGCTCATCACCAGTGGCACAGGTGGAGTAAGGCAGGGTAGGGTGATGGCTGGAGGAAGAATTGGACAAAATCAATGGGATGATCAGCCCTGGAAGGTGTTTATTCCTCTTGGACTTGCAGCTGCACCATGTTAACATTCCCTGTGGATTTTCAACCAGAATGGGGAGGGGAAGGGAGGTCAACCTGGAAGCCAAAGAAATTCATTAACTGTGTGTTGAGCTCAAAAATTATGATCAAGGTTTGCAGAGGGCTGGCTCTCCTCCTGATGTTCCACCAAGAGTCAGGCTTCATCTCCTTCAGTTAGGTAGAGCCTCTCTGCTAGGAAAATGTAGTTGCTGGGAGACATTTTTTGACATCTTTGAAAGCTTTCATGACTCCTGAGTACCAGAGGTAACCAAACTGCCTCCTTAAGAAACTGGTAACACTGGTTGCCTTTGGGGAGTGGAACCCCTGATGGCTAAAGGCAGGAGGGAGCTTTTCTTTCTTCCCTGCATGCCCTTTATAAAAAACAAAAACAACACATTCCCCCACATCGGCCCACCTTGCTTCTTGAGGATAGGAAGGCAATGTGGGGCCGGGGCTGGTGCACAGTTTCCTTATTCAAGATTATGGGGTGAAGTGGGCAGCTGGAAGGAGGACCAAAAAATCACAGGAGAGAGGAGTTACAAGGTGAGCAGAAAACCATGACCAAAAGGGCAATTCAAAGTGGCCAAAAGCAGCTACCACAGGGAGGTATGGTCCAGAACCAGAAAACAAAGCACCAGGCAAACAGAGGAGCAAGAGCAATGGTCAAGGACAAACTGAGGGGTGTCTGAGAAAAGCTAAGGACAAGAGCACATGGCATGAGGATGGGTGGATCTGTGAGACTATATTAGCTCACGAGACCTGGGCAGCAAGGTGCAGGCCAAGGCAAAATTCATAGCAGCAACAAAAGGTTTTGTTGGTGGGCACATAAGGGGTACTGTTGTATCAGAACTTTCCTGTCTGGGGGATATTCCTAGGAGATCATGCTCTAGCCTGAGGTTTAGTGATTCTTAACAGCCATGTATGAATGGTTTGCTATGGATGAATATTAGGGCAATAATTTTCTTCCCAAATACCTGAGGCATTTTAGGGTTTTATTATAATGTCACTGAATATTTTCTGGGAAACCCTGCAAATGGGCAATGCATTCAGGTAGTAGTTTGACCTGAATACTGTAGACATGATCTAAGGTAAGTCCTTTTCCTTATAGCTCCTTGGAACAATTTGAAACCACATCCCTGATTATCTGGTTCCAGTTGCTGGGTCCAAACCCTATCTGGGCCAACACTGCTTAATGGTACCTTACTCTGCAGCAGGTCTTGGTCCAGCATCTTCGGAAGGGTTACACCAGACCTGTTCACAGGACAGGAATAAGCCCAGAAATAAGTTCTCTCAGGACCTCCAAGTTATAATAGGTTGTAGATAATGCCCATAGTTAATGTTGTGGGATCCTGGCTGTGGCCCAAGAGCATACAATTCTGCAACAATTTCCACTGGACCTAAGAAATGATTAATACGAGGTTCAGCACAAAGTTGCAATAGCCAGCCACTGGGTGCTTTGTTCCAGAAGTACAGTGTCCCTGGTAGCAAGTGCTTCTGGGGAACTCAAGGCTTCATCTGATGTAGGAATATGTAATGGTCCTAAAAGAGATGTGTAGAAATTGCTAAGTAGGTAGGAGTCTATAAGCTGTTGCTTGGTTTATGAGTCTTCTTGCATAATATATTTTATTTGTGGGGTAAGGTCTAAGTTTTAGAGTGCCTCAGAACTATCAGGTATTAGTAGGGAACTTGTAATTGGAAGGGGTTAGAGATAGTTAAAAATGAGAACTAAAACAAATAAGTATTGGGCCTCTACTACCAACTAATATTGTTTACTAATTTACTAGTTAGGTAATAGTAGCTGTTCTATGTAAAAATCCTTAAAACAGACATTGACCAATCCTGGAAAATGCTGTTACTACCTCCTCCCAACCCCCACACTTCCACCAGGCATTCTGAGGTTCTTCCAGTCTGCATGGTATTACTTGGAATTCACTTGGGAAAAGTTCTATTCTGTAAATCCTAGCAGAGATGCAGGAAGAGTTAAAGGAGTTTCAGTTTGTGGAGACTGCTTTTTTGAGGGGTTGCTGGGAATATCAAATAATCAAGTAAATGGGTTATTATAAACCTATCCACAGCCTCAGGGGAAGCAATTTATATAAACTATTGGCATAGAGTTGGGGGCAGAGAAGAGGAAGCAAATTATTCCAAATTGCTCATCTTCTGCAACACCATTATCTTCCTCTTTAGGCTTTTCTACTTCAGCCAATAGTGCCATCATTTTCCTACTTATGCAGGTTGGAAGCCTCATGCTGTTCCACCTGCTGGGGGCTTTCTCTAATTTCTTAGTTCCTTATCTCATCTTTCCTCATGGCTCCAGTTCAGGAACCTCCTCATCCATGAAGTCCACCCAGCCCTTGGTGATCCTGTTTCATAGTTTCACACTGTCAATGTCCAGGAGTGTTCTAAAAACTGCAAGTGCTCAAAAAACACCTGACAGTGTTGGTGTTAGTAACTAAAAACAGGCTACTGTGCATGTCTAATGTAGGGAGAAGGCATGGGGAGGGCTGTGCAACACAGTGAAGACAGGTAGTGATTCTACAGCATCTTACTATGCTGATGGACAGTGACTGTAATGGGGTGTGTGTGAGGGACTTGGTGAAG